GAAGATGTACTGCTTTTAAAAAATTTAACTACATAACAGGAAAAACCGACCTGTAGTATGACCTCCCCAATTCAGGCCAAGAGAGCCTCTGGTGTGATCACCCCAGGTTTGAGTAGTGTAGCTTTTAAAGTTCACTCTCTGCTTCTACTGAGCTTCTAAGCATCCAGATTTCCAATCAAAACAACTTCATGTTGTTAAATGGCCAACTACTCTCTTGAAGATACATCTCTCTGTTTGTTGTTATATCTATACCATATACTTAAATGTTGTCCCTCATATGTGGACACACCATTTGAAGCATTTTACATGAAAATTCAATAAAATTTCTCAGAGACTACTATAGCAACTGTTTTGATATTGATGCGACTTGCCTTGGGGGAGCTTGTTCTATATAAAGGCTCTAGAGCCCACGTAGGAGGAGGTTTAGACTGCGTTGTGCCTATCTTTTTCTTTGTTGGTCTTTCTTCCATTCTTGATCTGTTAACGATGCCCATGACTCTCTTGTCTTACCCTAATGTTTAGTCCAAGGACTGGTATATAATATAACCATTCCTTAGTAAGTCTTACTGGGTGAATTAAAGGACAGGAAAGGAATGGAAAGAAACTTCTGTTGGGATTGTTTCAGTTTGACTTAATAGTTTTAATCTAAATTCCTTCATCTGGAAAACAAGAAAAAAGTAATACACTAGCCTTGTCGGACTATATTGAGAGGACCCGGCGTAGTTCAGGTCAATGTGAATCAAGGTGTTTGTCTCAATAAAGAGTGATAAGAAAACTAACTTGCTACCAGGAAAAATTAAACTGAATCCCTGTCTTACGTGTTCTACCAAAAGAAGCCACAAAGATGGCTGCACAGCCCTGTGAATATAAGAAAACCTGTGAACTCTGCTCCTCACATGGGTGAACTGCACGGTATATAGCTAGATCTCAATAAAGTTGTTATAGAAAATTAATATATCCTAGAAGATCGAGGATTGAAACAGAAAGCACGAAGCTTTTCCAGAAGGAAGCACAAGAGAATTTTGATATGATATTTGAGTGGGGAGTGAACCTCTCAAGCAAATCATACCGCTCTGGGGCCATAAATGAAAGGTTTGACCTTAAAATAATCATTAAGTATTTTGTAGAAGAAAATACTAAGAACAAAATTAAAAGAACCATGAAAAATATCTCTAACACAAGACTAATTACTATAATATGTAGAGTTCTTAATAATCAATATGAAAATAACTGGCAACCCCGAAGAAAAATGTAGGCAAGGGATAAAAGCAGACATATCCAAAAACAATCTCATACCAATGTAGTTGATGGGGCTGGAGGTATAGCTCAGGGGTAGGGCAAGTGCTTACTTATAGGAGTCCCAGGGTCAAACCCTAGGAGGAAAACTAAAATAAAACTTTTTTTTCTATCAGCATTCTGTTGATACAAGCCTTTGAAAGAAATATTTAAATAGTTTGCCAAAATCGAGAATACATATGTCCTTTGATCTGGGAATGCTAATTCAAGGAATGTCTTTTATAACTATCTGTACATGTCCAGAGAGATAAAACATAGGAATTATCATTCAATAAAATGTTTGTATTAGTGCAATGCTTGAAACCAAACTAGATGTCAATGAAGAAAGAGGTAGTCAAAAGAATTCCCATCATGTACTGCTTAACAATGTTTTGGTTGAAAATGGACTACAAACACAATGTGATCCTGTAAGAATACGTCACCTAGTGACATCATAACTGTTTAAGCGCACTCTATGAGGTTCACAGTGACACAACTGTCTAATGATATATTCCTCAGAATCTATTTCCATCTGGTGGCACATGGTTACATAATATTTTACTCAGTGAGAGACTGTTCATTCAGCGCAGGAATTCTAAGCCTAAAACCAAAGTGCTCAGTGGGGTATTTGTGTTCATGTTTGAAATGCTTGTATATTTTACAAATGTTTGCATATGCATTGACAATCTTCTCTCTGTTTTCAATTCTCCAAATGCCTCATGTCTCGAGATGAATGAATTCCTTTCACATATAGTATCTTAATTTCTGAAAGAACTTCACAGACAAGATACTGACAGGTGCATTCTTGAGTGTTACTTGTGTTACTCCCATGAGTTTTCTCATTTAACAGTTGTTAATACTAAGGTAAAAGCCTTGATGTTGACTGCCACAGGAAAGGAACTGACACAGACCTCTAGTCAACAGCTTCCTTAGGGTCTTACACATTCACCCCCTATTTCTTCCTTAAGTCACACACACCCTGTATTCTCTCATGATACTCTTCCTCCCATGTTTAGACCTTCTTTCTCTCATGAGCTAACACTTCTTGATAAAATCTGTACCTCTTAGAGTGAATTTGAATGCTGCTGGCTGAGCAAACCCTCATCTGCCATCCCATGTAACACTGGTGACCCCAGCCTAACCACAGCCTACAGCTGTCATGGTTTTCCTGTGCTCCAAAAGTCCTGAAGACGGGACCTGGGGGTTGGCCCGGTGGCTAAGAGCCCTGGCTGCCCTGGCAGAGAACCCAGGTTTGGTTCCCAGCACCTACATGGTAGCTAACAATCATCTGTAACTCCAGTTTCAGGGAATCCAGTACAGCTCCTCTGGCCTTCACGGGCATTACATGACATGGGTGCACTTACATATATGCAGGCAATATACTAATACACATAAAATAAAAAGAAATAAAATTTTTTAATACTGCAAAAGACACCTAGGAGGGTTTTTGTATGTTAGTGGAAAGCACAAACATCTTAGAACAGAGACTCAGGTTTTATTCTGTGACCAGTGCAAATGTCTAGAACACAGCAACAGATTAATAAACATACCCAGATCTTAATCATTTTTGATTGCCCAAAGGTTGAATAACTCCATATTTAACATGGTACATTTGGCCATTGAACAATAGCACTCTTTTAGGAATTGAAGTTTTGATGATGTAATCCTTTCCCTGTCTTTCCTTTTCAAATTTACATGAATGTCCATGTTCCACAAGGAGAATGGTCTTTCATTTGAAGTTGCGAGTTTATTTATTTATTTATTTATTTATTTATTTATTTATTTATTTATTTTTTTAATTAAAAGAAGCATTTCATTACAACAGCATTAACCTATTCAATAACATTTTTCTGAGCTAGGGTATATCTCTTTCAAAATTGGCTGTACAGATCCTCAAACGACCTCAAGAGTGAAAAAAAATCAGTTTATGTGGTCCAATGGTATTTCCTCAAACACCCAAAAGCGAAGTATAACCAAAGATTAAAGGGGCCAATATAATTTATAAGAGCACACATAAATATAACTAAAAGTTACTTGACAAACAGCAAAGACAGACAGGCGATACCTTCAGTCGAGTTCTTGGCCAGATAGATAAAAGCTCTTCCCGACAGTAACCCAACATACTACTGGAAACATGA